TATCATTTATTTCCATGACTTTATGGAAATGTCTAGAAGAGGAATGTGAGCTTTGCCTGTCAGTTTCCTGAAAGCATTTTAGGTTTTTTTCTATTCAAGTAGCCTTGTTTCTTTAGCAGTCAGGTGAATGAATATTAGAGATGAAAACCTGCTAGAATCTTCTATTTATGTGTGCACTCTGTGCTTATGTGCTTATATGGTGTATTTATTAGTGTAGTGTTCTGTTATATACAACTTTTAAACAGAAATGGGTATTGGCATAATAGCACAGGAATGGTCACAGATGAAGGAACCTGGATGGCTAGATGATGTCTAGAGGGAGTATGCTTCCCAAACCAGGGTATGCTATATAGTTCTTGAGGCTAGATTTTAAAATGCAGAAAGCAGTTATTTCTTGAGATGGTGTTTCAAACATGTGTCTCTTGTCTCCTGCATCCCTAAAACAGCTTTGTAACAAATTCAGTAGTTGTTTTTAGAAGGCAAAGTGTTTTTTTCAGGACCAAGAAGAACCTTGTGCAAGCTTGTATTTAAATAATAAGAAAGGTTGGAGGTAGAAACATCAGCTGGCTGAGAAATGGTATGTTTTAATTTTGAGGTTTTATGCTGTCAGTTGATTTTGAACATAATTAAGCCTCTCTAGTTCAAAATTCTTACTATACTGCTTCTGAAATTATAGTGAATAGACACATTCTTGTTGCTAACCCTTTATGCACATAAGTGTTTCCAGTTGAACTCAGAATTCTATTTTTCTTTCTCTTAGTCTTTACTTCATCAGTAAATTGTGATATAGAGAAAACCTGCAACTTAATTATTTTACAACTGCTTTTTTTTTCAGTGCAGTGTTTTCTTTGTAAGGAGAGACTCTTTCTTTATTCTATTAACCATATAATAAAAATTTTATTTGTCTCAATCCCATATAATATAAAAATTCATTTGTCTCAATCAAGTTGTTTGATTTAAGGTAGGAACTACTCTCTCAACATGCAAGTGTGCAGGATAGGGTCTCAGTGCAAGACACTTCCCTCATGCCAGGATCTCAGTAAAATATACTTAAGATACACTGTCGATAACTCTGTCCCAAAGCTGTTGATATAAAGAGAACTGTTTCTTAGTTTCAGAATTCTGTGATGGTGTATTTTCTTGAAAATGTTGAAATGGTATATCTGAAGCATTTTTCTTGGGCTTTCCATCTTTCCTCATGTGTTTTAATATGTCATGCTTGTCCTGGCATACTAAGAATATAAAAATCTTCTTGAAAGAGTAAATATTTCTGTTTTATTCCCCTAAAGTATTGGTGAGTTTTTTTTCTTTACACTGTAATTTAAAATAGTAGGTTTTCGTTAAATGTTACAACTGGTAACTTCTAATGAAAGTCTTAGTAATTTTTTGTAATCTAATACTAGAATACTGTGCTTCATGCATTTAAAAGTAAAATCTAATGAACTGTTTTGGAAACTAGATTGTTGCCTTAGAGTGATTATGAGTCTGCCTGTTTAAATAGCATTTCAGACAGACAGAGTAGACTGTCACAGTCCATAGTGGATAATGAAATGATATATAGACCACTCTTTAGTGCAGGAAGCCTCACTTCCATATGAAAGACTACACTGTGTTGATACTGTATTTTATCCAGTTATCCCAGAATGATGCTGCTCATTTACTTTATGTTCTACTTTGATATACACTTTAAGAGAAGAGAAGGTGAGGTGTTGAAAAATAACTTGAATCCTGAAGTTAGTTTGGCATGTGGTCTGGTTTGAGCTAGGCAGAAATAAAAACTATTTAAAGTCTGCTCCCCTTCAAATGTTTTAGGAATGTAAGTGGCTTACTTTATGGCATCACATCAGAACCATTATACTTTCCCCTTTTTTTACTTCTAACTCAATTCTAAATTACTCCTTTAAGAAAAAAAAAACTCCAGCCAAATAAACAAAACATACACAACCTCTCACCCCTTATGCTGGTTTTACTTCTTGTTATAAATAAAGATGTATCCTTAGAAAGGTGTGATAACTCCCACTTAGATCATAATGTGCTGAAGTGCTGTACATTTGCTGTGATCAACAACAGTGAGAAAGAAATGGCTATAAAAAGGGAAATGTGAAGTTTTTAATTGGAATGTGCACTCTTTTTTGAAGTGGTTAATGTTTTGAGTTCTTAAGCCAAGAAGTTCATATACTGCTTTCTGAGCAAAAATGTGAAGTTTTTAATTGGAATGTGAAGTGGTTAATGTTTTGAGTTCTTAAGCCAAGAAGTTCATATACTGCTTTCTGAGCATTTTGTCTCTGCCCTCATTTATTGAATTAATTCTTTAATTAGTGTCCTTTGGGATGTCTTCCAGTTGTGGAACTTGTGCTAAGATTTCCTTTTACAGAACTTGTGACTTAATATTAGCTGTTGCTGAATGAGACACTAACTTCTCTGTGCCTTTTGCAAGTAAATGTTGACGGGCTCATAGGAAATGCAGCTGACGTTAGGAAGCTTGGGTGGGGACTACAAGGAGCTGGCAAGTACTGCAGGGTTCAGTGCCAGACATGCTGACACAACAGTACTTCACTTGTAAAAGTTTTCTTTAGGCTGCTAATTCTGTCTTTAGAGTAACTGGAACCAAAGCAGTGTCTCTGATGCCAAGTTAAAATAGCTAAAGTAACACTTCATAGGAAATTGAGAATGCTTTCCATGGCTTAGATCCTCAGAAATATTAGTAAAAAGAGCAAGATTCTCTCTTAATGAAAGGGTGCGTTATGAACAGTGCCATGTAATGAATGCACTGCAAAACAAATCCATCTAACTAGAGGGAGTGTTAGAAACAGCTCAAAGAGGGAAAGGCTAGCATTGTAAAGTCCCTGTAAATACTGTGCTCTGAGTGATTTATATTGCAGTTTCAATTTATTTGATTTACTAGTTCATAGTCATATTTCATGAGGCACCCTTTTAATAGTTTCCTTTAACTTTCAAATAAAAATTGTTTTCTTCAAATGTATCTAGACATTGAGAAATGCTGTGTGAGCACTTCTATAGCAGTTTGACCATGTCACCTTAAGTATAATGTGTTTTGTCTTGACTTTATGTTATTTCTGGTCCATGTTAGAGCCTAAGAGCTAGTAAGGCAAAGCTTTGAAGGGGTTAGAAGTGGAATACAGCTTAGGTTTGCTTTGCAGAAGTTCAGGCAGAACTATGAGTTGCTGCTGCCATGCTGTCTCCAGTTTTTTATGTGGGAGGACTTGCAGGAGGCATCATGGAGAGGAATCTTGCTGGGGAAGGCATGCCTGGCTTACAGAATATAACAACTGCTGCAGTCTTGGTGGAAGGATGCAGCAATATTACATAAGCATATTGGTTTTGATTTAATTTCATCATCACCCTTAGATTTTAGGAAGTGCTTCCTTTAATTCCTTAAGAGTGCAGAAGTCAAAGCAAGTGATGGAAGAAAGGAGATTCAGATGATGAATTTAATCTCTTCAGTGTTTTTGCAGTGCAGTGTGCCGTGACAAGTTAGCTTTAATGTTATTGCCTCTTTTAAGGTAGGCACATGCATTCTGCTCTCCCACAAAAGTAGAAGTTTGGGTAGTAGACTGAAGCAGCTTTGCTAGAGCAAGTGGATGGCCGTATCTTGCATCCATGGGAGATGTTGGCCTCTGCTGACTTCAGAATTACAGATCACCTCTGAAATCTCCTTTGACCTATTTAATCAAGTTAAAATGAAATAAAAGCAATATATAATAATAAGAAGAAAAGACTATTTTTAAATCCTGGAAGGGTTTTGTTGTTTTGGTTTTTTTTGCATGAAAACTGTCATATAAAAGAAAAAGTGGACTGAGCAGTTTTTTCTCTGAGATCACCTTAATCATTTTTCATAACATCCCTTATCAGTTTGGCTGTGCAATGTTGGACATTGATGTCTTTCAGACCAAGATTTGGCTTTTCTTGAAGAGAAGCACTCAGTTCATTTATAAATCTACAAAATGTAAACTGGTGCTTTCTGAAAGCTATGTAGCAAGTAACTATGTAGCCCATGACTTGACTAAATCAAGCTGTTCAACTGAGCATTGATTTTTTGTGTAGCTCTTGCTGGGGATCTGTTCTCATGTGTTTCTGGGCATTCTGTAGCACATCTCTGACATTTCCCTTCTGTACTGCCTGATTTCTTCCAAATTATTACCTAGATTTTTGTCCCCCCAAGTATTTAAATTCTCTTTCTGAACTAGATCCTGTCTTTGCCAGTATGAGTGTACATATAAAGGTATGTGTGTCTTAGCTCCATAAAAGAGTCCAGAGGACATGTCTGGAAAAGAGATTTAAACAAAAGGTTATTTTTCACTGAGATAATAACAGCTAAAATTTGGAGAACATTGTCTTTATCTTGGTCACAAATTTGTTGAATGAGGAGGATCTGAGAGATGCTATGGTGACTCTTTGCTTCCAGAGAGAAGTTCCTTTGTTGAATAAAAATTGTGCAGTATCACTGAAATTATCTGGTCAGTGTCCAAGATTTGAACTGTCTCAGGGGATGTATTGCTGACATTCTCTATGGCCTGCTTAAGCATTTCTGTTTACAGATCTGTAGTGATCTATTTGCAGTGCAGTGAGGCTGCACTTCCTGTGGTTGAATGGTGTTGCTTAACTGTGGTCAGCTAAATTCCTTGGACAGGAGTTGAATTTTTCTAATGCAATGTCAATGGATTTTGCCAACAATAGCTGGCAATGAAGGCACATGCAAGGCTAGCATGAATTTATTATGGTATGTTACATATTGTGAACTCTGTTCTTTATAATTTTCTGCATCTTCTGACAAAAGTGAGCTGCAAAAATGGCTTTGCAGTTATCTATTACAACTTCCATATAGGTCTTTACTAGTAAGCAGGAGTTTTTATTAAGTTTATGGATGGACATTTGCTTTGATTTATGAACAGTTTCAGAAACGTAGTAACTGACACCTGTTTTCTTAGACACTAACAAGAAAGTTTGGGTATCAGACTTCTTCCTTTTTTTTTTTCCAGATGGAGCAATTGTCAGATGAAGAGCTTGACCATGGTGCAGAAGAAGATAGTGATAAAGAGGATCAGGACCTCGACAAGATGTTTGGGGCCTGGCTGGGTGAACTGGACAAACTCACACAGGTGAGCAAGGTTTCACTCATCTTACGGAATAATTTTTTGTTGGTATTATGTTTATTTTCAATTGAATACCAGCTGCTTGACTCTTCCACTTGCAGCAAGGCAGACAGTTGCCTGTGACCAGTTCAGTAATTGTAAAGATTTATAAATTGCTTGTTTACCCCATCCTGAGGTTGTTACATTCATTTTGCACAACCTGCTGGTTTGACCTGTCACAGAGGGTATAACAGTTCCTTCTGAGAATAATAGGATTGCTATTTTGTCCTTATGTATGTAGGGCAACATGGACTTCAGCTGACAAGAGATAGGCTGTCTCCAACATGTGGATTGACATTGTCCAGCTGCGACAGCATTTATTTGTTGCACCTAAACAGCAATAAGAAAAAATTGTGAATGCTGCCAGTAATGATGTAATGAGATACCCTGATACACCCTCAAGGACTCACCATTGTTCCAGAGCACTCTTCCTGCATCAGTGAACCAGCTGATAGGACATCTTTCAGTCCTTCTTTCTAGTGCTTTTGCTTTGCTTCACAAGCAGATACTGCATTTTGCATGGTGTGCTGCACTCCTGGGGTATAATCAGCCATTTCTCTGTGACTGCCTGCAGGGAGTGTTTGAGCTGTGTGAACTGGCCCTCCTGAATAACATATTTAATCTTCTCCCTGTTTGTCATGTAGAATTAAGCAGAGGTATGATAAGTGAAGGTTCATTAAGCTAGAGAAGAGGCAGTTTTTCTCATCTTCATCTTATCTGAAGACTGAAGGAAAATTGAGCTAATCATGTAACAGGATTTCAAATTCAGGCTCATCTCTGTTACTGACTCTGCCATTCAAGTTCTAAATGTATATAGCACTATTGGGGAAAACTTTTTTTTTTCATGCTCACACATGCAGGGCAATAAAGAATCCTGCCTTCTGAGATGTGCGGAAGAGTGTGACATTAATCTGTATATACTAATTCTTGCTGGTTTTTCACTTACTTTGAAGGGTTTTTAATGGTGTGAACCATTTTTGAAGGCATGGGCTTTGTAAATTGCCTTGAGTGAGGATATTCACAGAGGAGCACAATTTGTCTTGGACCCATTAAGCATTGCTTAATTTCAGATGTTCTGCCAACCTGTTGAGCTTCAGTGACAGCAAGATTCCCCACGTAACACATTCCACTCCAGGGGCAGAAGCTTCTGGCCCTGTCATGTACTTCTTGGGTCAGCAGCTGGATCACAGTTGCCCTACTTATAAAAATCCTTGTATTTATTATAGCCATCATATTAGCCATCATAACATAACAATTCAATGGGTCTTAGATCCTTTGTTCTCTGACCCATTTTTTAAAGGTGTGAACAGCCTAGAAATATAAGTGTGCTTGGGGCTTATACTTTACTTGGGGCTTAGCTACACTATTGACATGCAGGCTTCAGGGTGATGTCTCAGTTTGTTGTTGGTCCATGCAAATTTCTTAAAATCTGCTAAGAGCTTCTTGATGGTAGGACCCACATTATTTGTTTCTTACTTTCATATTGCTGTTCAAGATAGTCTGCAACATAGTCTGACAGTTGCCCTTCTATCTTTCACAACTACTGAGAAATGACATTTCCCCCAAAACTTTGAATGACCTCATATTGTTCTGCATAAACAAGTTGATGGAGTTGATTGTGTCTCAGGTCATTTATTTGGACAGTCATCAGATCTTAATGGAGTTGTTCCAATGAAGTCCCAGTAAAGGAAGATGATTAGCATTAGTGAGATCCAAAGTTCATTGTCCTGTAGTTTCAGTATTTGTTGCTATCTATCAGCTGGACTTCAAGAGCACTAGGAGGAAAGTTTTTTGTCCCTGATGTCCTTGATCCTTAACTTCTTTTTAGATTTCCTAAATGTTTATTTTTAGGAGATTTAAAGTAAGACTCAGATGTAACTGCTTTTTAAAAGATCTGAGATAATTTGAATGCCCATGGGAATCATTTGAATTTACTTTCCCTCTTTAACTCTTGGTTTAACAAAAGTCACAAAATCTGCAGCGTGTGTGAGCAATATCTGGCATTGATGAGGGGTGTCTTAACATTTATTCTGCCTAAGTTATTCTGCTACATGATGCAGGTTAAATGAAAAAAAATTTACCTTGCTTCTCATTATTATTTAGAATTAAGCTTTTGGTGCTGTTGTAGCAGTTCTCCAAACTGCTGGTTTAGCGGTTATGGAGAATGTGCTCAGATAATGGTGAGGGCATATCACGTGTGTCCAATGATTTGCAATAACTTTAATAAAGCCAGCAAAACGTGGTTGGGGTCCTTTTAACCAGAATATATTTGCTTCACAGGAGTCAGTGGATTCGGTCTGAAGGAACAGGGCCTAACTTGCCTCTTCTGTGTCCAGTTTCCCTGTTGTCTCTAGGTTATAGATTTTTTTGGTTTTTTTTTTTTTTTTTTCAAGTTCAGGTTGAGCTGAGGAAAGAAGGAGGGCATATCACGTGTGTCCAATGATTTGCAATAACTTTAATAAAGCCAGCAAAACGTGGTTGGGGTCCTTTTAACCAGAATATATTTGCTTCACAGGAGTCAGTGGATTCGGTCTGAAGGAACAGGGCCTAACTTGCCTCTTCTGTGTCCAGTTTCCCTGTTGTCTCTAGGGTTATAGATTTTTTGTTTGGTTTTTTTTTTTTCAAGTTCAGGTTGAGCTGAGGAAAGAAGGGAGCTCAGGAAGAGTAAACATTAGGGGAAAAAGTAGTGCATTTGATCTTTTTAACAAAGGCTTGAGTAAAGATGTAGAAAATGAACATAAAAAGTTTAGATGAGAAACTTTATTCTGTTGAAACTAGAAAACACTTTTCCTTCAGGCAAGCCTATCTTCGGAACTCTCTTATCAGTACAAGTCTTGCCTAATTTCAGATGTTCTGCAGGCCTGTTGAGCTTCAGTGACAGCAAGAGCTGGATTCCCTATGTAACACATTCCACTCCAGGGCCAGCAGCTCCTGACCCTGTACTTCTTGGGTCAGCAGCTGGATCACAGTTCCCTACTGCTTGCTACTTACAAAATCCTGGTATTTATTATAGTACTATACCCATATTAGCCATCATAACATAACTCATTGTATTGGTTAGAAAGAGTTTCTTTTTTTAACCTTTGCTAGTTTTCCTAAAAAAATGTGCCCTACATAAACTGGCTAAGGTTGGTTTTCATAACTTAATGTCATTCACAGGAAAGACTATTGAAAAAAATTATGAATTTAGTGAATTTAAGTCCCTATTAATAAAATAGGATTCTTAATTGAATGTTTTTAAGCACTTACACCATGATTATGCTCATAGGCTAATGGTGGATATCTCAGACCATATTTTAGACTCTTATCCCAGTTTGAATGTTGTGCAGTTTCATGCAGAGAGAGAGTTACAGGTAAGTCAGCTGTCTGTTTCAAAAGGAGCTAGTGTCTAACATCATTCAAAAAAGCATTTGGAAAATGCTTCTATCCTTTTGATTCTGAAACGAAGCAGAATTTGTTTAACAACTTTTCTTCATGGCATATCTGAAGTTAAATCCCTGTAGTATGACGATGTTTGTTTTCAGTCTAAAGCCTGAAAAACCGGTGCTTTTATATATACCAGTAACTTTTGAAAAATTTCTCTTAGAGAAAATTAATTCTCATTCATCTTAAGGAATTGGACAAGCAAATCTTTGTCAAATTTTATTTTGCCCTTTTTTTGATCTTTTTCAGAGTTTGGATGCAGACAAACCTGTGGCACCAGTGAAGAGGTCACCTCTCCGCCAGGAAACCAATCTTGCCAACTTCTCATATCGCTTCTCCATGTACAATTTGAATGGTTTGTTGAATTATTTACCACATATAGTTTAACAAAAGTACTAGTTTAACAAAAAAAGCTACTCCAACTATATATTAAAATATTCTAAAATATAAGAACATTTGAATACACTTATAGCTGAGATGAGAACATATTTGCTGAAGGCATTGCTTTCTGGTGCCTTTTTTTTTCAAGTATTTGAGTCTCCTAAAGCATTATCTTTTACAACACTTAGTATTTGAGAACTGTAGTGTAGTACTTGTATAAAAAAGCTTGTCCTGGGATCTGGTCTCATGAAGGAGTGACTTAATGTGTATCTGTTAACCAGGAAGAAAGAGCATCTTGCTTTACGGAACAGAATGCAGGAATATAGCTACAGAATACTTTCAGGATAAACAGAAGGAAACCTTAATTTAAAGGTTTGAGTATGTATATAGTATTTTTGTTTTGGTTTTGTGTTTTTTAACGCTGTTGCATTACTTTAGCAGAAAATGCTTAGCAAAACATCTGTGCTTTTTTGAAAAGTGAGGCATGATATTATGCAAATGCATTTTTATATTCCTTTCACAGGAAAGCAGTTTAAACTTTTTATATGTAATCTGAACATTCATAGACTTCTTTTGCTGACAAATGAGTTTAACCTAAACAGTGTGAAAGTTGCACTGGTCAAGGATAGTAGTGCAAATGAATTTCAGTTCAGCAGTGCACAGATATTTTGCACTACAGATGGGAAAAGAAAATGCTGCTTCCTTTGCTCTCTTAACTATTAGATTTGATAATAAAGTGAGGCATTGCAAATGAAATAACTCTGCACATAGTGACTATTCTTGTTTGTTGCAGAAGCCCTAAATCAGGGGGAGACTGTGGATCTGGATGCCCTCATGGCTGATCTCTGTTCCATAGAGCAGGAGCTCAGCAGCATCGGCTCTCATTCAGCAAACAATGCTGCCGTGAAACGCCTTGCCACAGAACCCAAAACTCAGAAACCACCTGCTAGTCGACCTTCCACAAAGCACAGCAGCGTGAAAGGATTGTCCTCCTCTGCTAAGCTGACTAAACCATCGCATGCCAACGTGTCTCTGGATGACATCACTGCTCAGTTAGAGAAGGCCTCCTTGAGCATGGACGAAGCAGCCCAGCAGTCTGTTGCGGAAGACACCAAGCCAGTGGTTACTGCCCAGCACAGGAGGACAGCATCTGCTGGCACAGTGAGCGATGCTGAGGTGCGCTCCATCAGTAACTCCTCCCGTTCCAGCGTGACCTCGGCAGCTTCCAGCATGGACTCCCTGGATATTGATAAGGTGACAAGACCTCAGGAGCTGGACTTGACATCACAAGGGCAACCGATCACCGAGGTAGGATGTCACTAATTCAAGATTTTTGTTTGGTTTGGGTCTTTCTCTTCAAACTTACACCTCATGCCCCATGCTGACACTCAGCTAAACGTCTGCAATGCAGTGGGGTTGATTGAACTGCCCATGTTGTAGCTACTTCTTTCTTTGGTTTTAGTTCTGTCTGCAAGGAAACTTCTTATAAAGAATGTGTTTAGGTTTTGGTTTTTTTAGGAGCTTTCCCCATCTCTTCCTCCTCCAAAGCCAATCATGCATTTTATTGTTTTTATAGTTAATATTTTTATTCCAGGTAAATGTCACATATTGTCTTTAATTTAAATCTGAGGAGTGCACAGCTGTGGAAAAAAAGAAAGCACAATTGACAAAATTCTATTCCTCTTACAGTACAGTTAATACCTGAAATACATGGAGCAATATACTGATGTCTATCTGGAGCTATACTATACCAGTAATTTGCTCCTACTTAATATTCCTGTTTAATGTATGACAGGAGGAGCTCTTTGAAGCAATACACACTACAGAAAAATTACTGGGCTGCAATGCAACATTACCAGATACTAATTTGCAATTTTGATGCTTTGACATTGATTAATTGGAGAGGAAACTTCAGTAAGAACAGCTAGTTTGGTGAACATTGCAAGTGCTGCTGACTTGAGAGAAAATGTGGAAGATGTTCCAGTGAATTTTGAGAACTTAAACTTAAAAGTTCTCTAGAAATACTTTCTGAAACAGAAATCTGACCTGTTAAAATGTCGGTTGTACTAATATGCATGTTCTCTTTCATGAGAGAAAACTGGAACAAAGTGAGTTTATTCTAATGAATAATTAAAACAAATCTGAATGGGCTGTACTGAAAGCATGGTTCTACACATCTGCCACAGAAGTTCATCTGATGTAAAGTGAACAATGCAGGCTTGCCAGCCTTATGATTAACTCACTGAGGTCACACTTTGATTTAAATCTTCATATGAAATGGTGAGAAATGAATGACAGTTTAGGTGAACTTTCTTTTAGTATAAAAAGTTTGTGTTCAGTATGCTTTTATTGGAGATTTCCTGTTGAGTGAAGTAAAACAGATAGAAATGTGCCCTTTGCTCTTTGGAAAGTTAAAATGCAAACCTTTGCATTATTGCTGTAGGCCTAAGTGTTCAAGCCCAGCCTCTGACAGTCATCGATTATATTGTTGTTTGTTTGAGAATCATTTTCTTTTTATGGCCTGATAAGGCTTATTTTTGATTTGTTGTTTTTGGGTGGGTTTCTTTTGTTTTGGGTTGTTTTTTGGGGGTTTTTTTTCATCTCCAGCTGTTATTCATGATTATATGTCTGTCTTTATGATGTAGAAAGTTAGTCTTGCATTTTTGTCTCTTCTCAGGCTGAAAAGATTACTTTTATGAATTAGTTGCTCTAGCTTGCATAGCATAAGAAAAGCATGAATGTTGAATTTTTTTTTTATTTTTAATGCAAGTTGTTTTCTGCAATTGATCTTGCAGGTCTCCCTCTAGATTCTGTTTTACTTTGGGAGTTATATGCTTGAGGCATTAGTAAAATTGCCCTTCTTGTCTCCCAGTTTTTTTCAATCCTTTGTGTCATGAGTAATCAACAAACCACCTGCTGCCCTTAATTACCTTGATGTTGGTGAATCAAGGGACAGAGGTCAAGAAGTTGCTTTGTCTTCACAGGAAGCTAATCTCTATTGCTGCAAGTGTTGCAGTTGCTGTTTCAGTTGCTTTCTGAGGTCTTGGTCACTGACTGCAAGGCTCAAAATCATCCCCAAAAGCTTTTCTCAAAGGCTTGTGAGGGCTGCCTTTGTACAAACGCAGTGATTGCTTCTCTTATAAGAATGGGGCTATTGTTTCTCTGCCCAGATAAGTTGATAAGAATGATTGATTCCTTTGAAGGAGGTAACCAGAAAGTGTCAGTAATTTGAGATCCAGATTCTGCTCTTGTCTTGAGAGCAGAAACCTCTCAACTCATTAACCATGCTGCTTGCTTTGGCTCCATTCTTTTTCATTTCAGTAGCCTGAGGAAAGTATTTAATTCTTAGAAATTGTCCCTAGGTTTACAGAATTGGTATTCAACTATTCAGTATTAAAATTGTTATGTGATGGGATGGGACTTCTTACAGAGAAGTTTCTTTTCTCATCACTGGTGAGCAGGGAAAGGGAAATTACTTTTTTTTTTTGTTTGTTTGTGACAGATTTTGTGGTAGTGTTTTTTAAAAGAATTTAGCTTTTAAATGGATTCTTTGGAAGAATCAGTGGGTATCAACAAAGCTATTTATTTCCTCTGTCATTCATTTAGTGCCCAAAAACTAGTTTAAGGGTTTATTAATCCTCTTGGCTAGGTTGTGAACCAAAACACCTTTTACTAGTAGGGCTGAATTTTACCCTCCCACCCACACAGTTGACTCAATGGTGCTGTTTCTAATAGAAAACCACCCTCTGAGGAAATAGGCTTTGAAGAAGTCCTAATGTCCATATAAGGAAAAACTCAACAGTTTTTATGCAGAAAGTGGGAGAGGCTATTTATTCATGGTCACAGCAGATCTGTTTTGAGATTTGTTATTCTGAAGTAGTGCTTTAGTGCTTCAAGTTAGCTCTTTTCTTTTGCCTGTCTTCCTTGAGACTGCCTGTAGGTGAGCTGACCTTTAAAATTTTTCTTTTCTGCTGTGGCTCTTCTAAAAGAGGTCAGTGTTTTGGCAGCTCTGCCCTTTTGACCTGACCAATACTTTGTCTTCTCCAGGCATATAGGTACTTTAAAAAGTCATCCTTCCTGCTGCAACTTCATGTTATGCTCTTCCTTAGTAAAATGGAAGACAGTTTTGATGGGAGGAAACACTTGTCTGAAAAAGGAAATTAGGTTTTGCAGTTACAAACTTCAGTATCCTATCTTAAGAAATATTTCTGCTGTATATTTCAGAGCTCTCTGACATGGCAGTACAGGAAAATCCTGTAAAAGAGCATCGTGTACTGGCCCACTGAAGGTGTGTGTAGTCTAGTATACTCTCTGGCTGGTAATAGGGACCAATATTACAGAAAAAGGCTGTAATTCCACAGCCGTCAGAAATGGGAGGGGTATGACTTCCCTTTCCTCTCATCCTTCCTTCCTCACAGTTCTTTCCTTATACTCTCATGTCCTCCCTTGTCCTAGCTTTGGCACTTAACTGGGACTTAGTACCCCAGACTTTTGTGCTTCTATTCTGGGTCTCATTCTTTGTTATTTAGGTGAACTGCAGAGGCTCAGAGGACTGTACAGGGCTCTGTAGCCATGGACTGGAGGCTGGAAGGGAGAGCAGGAACTCACTTGGTGGTGGTAATTGATTATTCAGAACTTCTCGCCTGAGTATTTGGACAGGCATCTTAGTGTCTTGTCTTCCTCTTCCTCCTAGCAGCCTGTGCTGTAGGTAATTCCTGGGGTTGCAGATATATCAGCATGATGACAAATGAGAACTCTCAGTGGTCATATTGGCCAGGACGATCCTTGCACTCATCCTGAATTTGAATTGAATTTTAGATCACTTTCAGGGGAGTTGACTGGAGTTCCCTTGGTTGTCTAAAAATGTGGGTTTATTAGTTGTCATCATGGTTTATTTTCTTCCTTTCCTCCTTTCCTTTCTTAGCACTATCTCATTAGACATTGTGAATGTTGATATTTTCAAGACTATCACTTTGTAGCCTTAAGACCTTGTCTTGGTGGTACTAAGTGTTTTCTGACTGCACTTCTGTTCTTATCTTCAGTCTCCCCTTAAGTACTGTTGAATAAAAAGAAAAGTTGACTATGCCTCAACCTAGCCCCATAATTTTTTGCCAAATTGAAATTTGTCTTTGACAAAATGACTTCACAGATCCTTGCTTGAACAGTATTTTTTCTTAAATTGGTAGGTTGCATTTTGTTTTCTATGCTTTTAGTTGTGTAATGAGTGGTGTGCACCTTAAAATGTTGTTTCTGTGGGGGGTTACTTTACTTGTATGTAGACCAAATTAGTGAAGTAATAGCATGAGTTAGGGGATAATAGCATTGAAGTTAGGGGAAATTATGTCTCTGTGACTAACTTGTTGCCTCCACCCACATTTTTCTTCTTCCTTTGGTCCCTTTGTCAGCAAAAAGTTGTCTCTGTTTTCAGTGAGCTGTGCTAGAGTAGAAGGAGAAGAAAGCAGAAGGGAGTGAATAGAGAACTGTGTTGATGATGCTTATGTAGCTGTGTGTGTCTGGCAAGTGAAAGGCTCCATTCATGGGCAGTCATTGTTACTGTCCTGCACACACTCAGTGAAGAGGTTGCAGATAAGTTTGAGGTCTGCCATCTGGTCTGGCACAGTTCATCATCACCCCCCACCCCTCTTTATGTCTGTAACCCAGTTTGCACAGCTGAGAGATTCTGCTCATACAAAGATAATGCAAAATTTAGCTGGTAATACTATATGATTTAATTGCATTTTATTTTTTAGCTTTTACTTAAACTCATTGTAGATTTATACTTGATGCATGAGGGGTAGAAATCAGGAGAAGAGAGTGGCTAGTACAATAAAGCCACATGGTTTTTGCTTCACTTGACAGAGAAGGCAGTGTGGAGTAAATATTAATGTTTCTTTCAGAGTAAAAAAGGGAGCTTTGGAAGCATGACGGTTAGTAGCAATTGTCATGTAAGCTCAGCACACATAAATAAATGTGTACTGGCTAAAAGATCCTGTGGGATAAAATGAAAAACTTGAAATGGACATAAGGGAATAATCAAGGTTGTGTTTCATAGCAATTTTGCTATAGTTCTTACATGGACATGCTAGCATTTCTTTTGCCTATGCAGTGGTGTAACACAGAAGCTTTGGTACCCATTTAAAATTATTGAGGGTCATGTTTTATGTGGGATTGCTAAATGTTGCTATGTATGAAAATGCTGTTAATGTATGCAGAGAAATAAACTGATGATATATATGGTCTTTGTTAGGCAACGGTGTCTTAAAATAGAGCTGGACTGCTGGATCTCATCTGTTATTTGTAGGTGGTTT